AGTAGGCTTATATAGTGAAATACTAAGCTGAGGTATCACATGACTAACAAGTTGCTAAGCACACGCAATGACATATGAAATAGAAATGAAATGATATATGAAATAATGTCAACGCAGGACAGGAGAAGACAGAGGTCACAAGACTGACATTTCTGGGGATAGTCACGCAGGACTGTGTAATGAGAAAGGAAACACATGTAAAGTAGAACTATCTCAACAGTCCAAGGGATTGTATATCCAAGGATACCTTAGATTTGGAAATACAAGGTATCTTTGCCAGCAGTGTTGCTATCAACACATTCCTGAGTTCTAGATTGCTAATTCACTTGAGCACCATTATACTTGGCTTCCAGCTCAGCGTTAACTTATGCCTATGTGCATAATTGTTTTGGTGTGGGCCACCTTCATGTTCTCATCCGACAATTCTAACCTTGGTCTACATTGTAGCCCCCCTGATGCCAACAGACTGGTTCAAGTTTTAATTATACTCACAATTCACCTGTGCGCACCAGAACGCACCGAATGTATAGGATGATACAGCCTGATGTATCATCACATGTACTTCGAAAAATCCTCTATAGAATTAGCTAGTTGCTAGCTGCTCCTAGGGTAACTTGCAGCACTCAACAAAATTGGCTAAGTCCCCACTCTCACAAGGGGACCCCCTTTGCCGCCTCACGTACTTACAAGTAATATTACTACCTGAGCAAAACAAATTACCACTCCAGTAAAAAGCTCACCACTTCAGCAAGAAACTCACCACCAAAGTTCAAATTTCACCACCACACAAAAAAATCACCACCGAATCAACAAAAACTTACCATTTCACACAAATATCACCATTGAAACAACAAAATCACCATTACTTCACCAATATCACTACCAGATTTGAAATCTCACCACCGCATGAACAGAATCACCATCACACCAAAAAAGTCACCATTGATTCGAAAAAAAACTCACCACCACATCTAATGATTTATCACCGCATCAATTCAAATTACCACCTCAGACCAAAAACTCACTACCTATACACCGCATAACCTCATTATAATTAACCTCGCGGCCTCTCATATTACTACTCACAAGACGTCTCCTCAACATTCAATCCCAAAGTCTCATCATTTCAACTCTTCAAACCATTCCATCTGCCATTATCCATCTTCAAGTATAAACTACGCATCGTTTCAGACTTAATTGCCAACATGCGACCTGGACTTCGAAGGGCTCAGGCAGCGTCCTCGCCACCTCCTTCTAGTCATGACCCTGATTCTCGAAGTGACACTGGCAGCGAATGGCAGTTGCCTCCCTCTATTGTTCGACCTACCACTCAACGTAACCCTCTACCTATCACTACAACCGTCCGCCAACAACGAGCGACCGAAAGTCAAACTCAAGCTCAAGGACGAACCCGCTCTCGCAAACGAGCACGACCCAACGAAGATGATGATGACAAAATTGAACAAGACGAAGATCACGCCAATGAAAACACAACAATCGAAAATGATAACACTCCTGACGCTGACATTGACGACACAGTGCCCACCTTTAGCAACTACCGAGCCTTGGGCCAAGAGTGGGGAATGCCGCGCGCTGAAAAAGAGCTGGCGTCACTCACCTTTACGAAGAACAACCGTATATCTGCCACCGGTCTCTATGAAGCGCAGGCTCTTCAATCCAACTATGAATTGGATAAGACGATGCTGTGCCTAGTCCTGAAGTGCAGCCGACGAGTATTGGATGGAGCTTTGTAAGTAACACACCGTTCCCTTACCTCCCTGGACGGAATGTCACTTAACTAATATTACAATTTCTTATGATATCCTTACTAGACTCGAGGGACCATTATCTCGGGAGCCCAATATGTATACCAACTATCAAACCTATAGCATTGCGGCCACGAAAACTCCCAGTAAGCACGATTAATGAGCCATACAAATCCTCCACTAAACAATCTCAATTCTGCATCTCCCTTAGTGCCACCCAAAGGTGTATCACCTGGCTTTAAGGAGTGCAACGCGATTGTCGGCTCCACGTGGTCCTCCTACAACAATGAAGAACACGAAATTTTCACTCCTCGTCTATTTGAAAGATTATGTGTGGCAACGAGCGAGGCTTATGCACTTACTAAGACCCCTCTTGGAATCAATCCTTGTCTTCCGGTTGAAGAGGCGTCTACTAAAACCCCGGCTTCCACCATAGAACCACTTAGCGAAGAAGAACTCAATCAATATGTACCGGTTTTTGAGCGCCTGGTCAATCTGACAAAAGTCTCCCACGACTTGTACCAGGGTCGATTGTGGAGACACAGTGGCAAGTACAAAAATCAGTCCATGGAGAAGCTAATGAACTTCGAAATCAGCAAAATTATACGCCAGGTAAGATCCCTTCAAATAATCACATGTAATCCTACTTACACAATTATCCTCCATCTGTGATCGATTCAGCTACACGTATTGAAGGAACACTTCAATCTCCAATTCCACCTGCTTGTGGCAAGTTGGAACCCAGCCACTTCCGCACCCCGTGCTCTTTTTCAGGAAGAGTATACCTCTTGTGCACGGTGGGCCCGTGATCAGCAAAAGGTCCATCTCCTCGAGTGTTTTGCTTTCAAAGCAACGAAAGCTCCACAGCATCTGCGCTCTAAACGACTTGATCCCAAGCCCATGTCGGAAGGTGCAGCGCGTCAAGGACAAAGACGCACGGAACTTGCGCATGCCCTTAATGATTTGATAGGTGAGCATTAATCTTAGCTCCTTTCTAATGCAGTATCACAGCGCTGATGAACACTTCTGAAAAGCCCCACATCTTCGTGGAGGATATCAGGGCAGAGGTGATGCACATCCCAAAGTCCCAAATTTGAAGGCCGCCTTTGCAGCCAAGACCTTCCGCGGGGATATCAAGCTCACCTTTCAATGCACTCCTCAGAGCCGTATCACTGACCTCATGATCTCCAAGGTCCCTGGTCACCTTTCGAATGACGAAGTTGAAATTTGGATTGATGATATCAGATTGAAAAATTACACCATTATAGCCCTGCGCGCGAGCTCCCATATAACAAAAAGCGAAAATGACGAAACTAGTATGTCACAAGAACCATCTCAAACCGATTTAGCCGAGGAGAGTGTTAGAATATCCGAGTGATTACCCACAAAACACAAGTAGAAAGAATTTTATTATTTTTGGTCTCAACTATCTTTTTCAGTATTAACCTACTCAATTGAGTATCTTTATACTTATTCCAGTAACCACTCGTTTTTGTACGGATCTAACCATAGATTAGAACATTGGAGCTTTTAGTACCTTACTTGAAGATTCCATTTATTGTCATTGTTGGTAAATATTATCTTTGGCAAGGAATAACCATATTGTCAAACTACCCATGGTTGAGTAAATACCATTTATAAATTTTCACACCGGTTATGTTTTGTGTAAAATCTTTATGATGTGTACACTTCTATACATACCATACATAAGGAGTAACTACTTGTTACGTAGTGATTTCGCCTCAATATTCAAGTCATATGAAGGTCTTAAGATAATAACTCTAATTACATAAACATAAACACTCTCTAGCCCTCAGTAAGTAGTATTGTTCCAATATTTAAGTATTATACCATCAAGTTACAAGTACCATGTGGCGGTAACCTATTTGTTTGTCCGCACACCCCACCCTTCGCTCCGACATCCCATATCGTTTCATTCATCTAACCAATCGCTCACTGGTAAGTTTTTCCATTCTTTCATTTCCAACTTGCTCGCTGTGATTGTTTGTATTCCACACGGTTGCAACCAATCAGTTCAATCAAACACTAACAATTGTAAACTTCATGAACAGGGCAATAGCAATCAATCAGTCATCCCTGGCTATATTGGATCATCTTCGGACATAAATACTCTTCGCTTAGTAAGCCATGTTTTCAAAGCGCCCTTTCATTCATCCATTATCAGGTACCTTGCGCGGATTAGAAGACTAATTAAAAGAGGGGCAGGTTTTGATTTTACTTACTGGGTGGCATACGGCTTCTGCATAACCTGATGTCTACCCAATTGTTGTGAAAGATCTATTTACCCCTTGACGAGTTTTTTCCGACTCCAACCAAGGTACCTATAACTCCATTCGATACTGACTGCATGCTTGTCTTTGTATGTGATTGCTTTTGGACATTTTAAACCCAGGTAAAATGTCAACGGACCTCGATCCTGGTTGGGAGAAACAAAAGAGGGATAAATTCCCTGTTGTTTTGAATGCGAAGTAAGGTGATATCTACAATGTATTTGATCGAAACAGCAAACTAACTTCACCCCCTGTTCAGTGACTCCTCGGCATTGCCTGGTGTTAAATTTCTGTCAGATTTGCTGAAGCCAATTGATGTCAAGCGCCAAACTGGTTTCAGTGATAACGATGTAAGCTGCTTTGTTATTACTTCGGCTGTGATTCTCGTTCATTAACATCCTCACTTATAGCTTCCCCAACCTTTCCGTATGGCGAAATCTTACGCTCATGTCCCTCACGAGTTTCTCGCACCGGATGGCTTCCCAAGCACGGGCAATTGGCTTAATCCCGCCTGCCAATTTGCTGTACTTGGGCCTGATGGGATTTTGGGGAAAGGAAGACTTGTGTAAGCAAAACGAAGCTGTACCGCTATTTCGAATATTGGTACGAAGGACTCTAACTGTTATGCATTTACATTACAAAAACCATTTTCCAGGCAAAGGGCTTTGGATTACTTCCACGAGCAGGGTTATGAAAATGTACCCGACCCAATGCCACTTTCTGTGAAGACACATGGTGATAAAAAAACCGGGACGTGAGTAAAACTCCTACGTCTTTAAAAAGTGTACTGATATCGAATTAAATTCTCCCTTGTCCGTATCATAGTCGCTATCCTGCAAAGGCTGCCATGTTCATGGCTGCAAAGCAGGCCGATCAGTCCGCCCACTCGGTGAAGAGAACTTTTGATCGCAAGTTCACCAGGTTCAACGACCCAATTCTACCATTCAAATCCCACGAAAGGACCATGGAAATCATCTCAAATCTCTATACCGTTGTCACTCACGGTTGTGGACAATTCGTTGATCGGGAATCAAAGAAGCTCATCTGCACCTTTTCTTATGAGGACTTGGAATCTATTACATCTGAGGAACGTGATGAACACCAAAAGGACGTAAATACCATATTAATGGCTACAAAGTTATTCAGAAGGTTACCACTTCCTCCTAAAGAAACTATCCTAAATGCACCGGCTATATCGACTGCTCCTACATCATCTTCCAGGATTAAAGTACCCTTTGCTGACGTAACGCAAGCTCTCATGGACGAAACCCTGCCCCGGTGCCTAACTCCTTATGAAAATCAAACACCATCCCCTCTTACTTCATTGGCCTCTTCACCCCTAAGTTCTCTCCCACCTTTGGAATGCGGGGATACCGAAATGATTGATGTTATGGTTAATGCCCCTTCCAAGGCCTCACCTGCTGATCATATTCATTCATCACCACTCTCCTCAGTCGATTCATCGCCTCTATCTTCACTCCCACCTTCGGATTCCGAGGACACTGACATGGAGGATATCGAGGAATCCGTTAGGGATCATGCTGAAGACCCTACTACACATTTAGATCAGAGTTTGACCGCGGTGAAGCCCAAGAAAGCCAGGACAACGAATGGAGCCCTTATAGCGGGGAAGATGTATTGCTTTGGCCAAACTGTAGGCTATTCGAGTGATATTCTAACTTCGCTCTATATCCCCTTCAAAGGGGCTTCGAAATCACTATACCGCCGTTTCCTCGATAATCTACCCGGCTTCGGCAGACGCGTGGGCGCACGATTCCGAAGCTTCTGCGACCAAGGTTTCCAAATTGCGCATGAAGAGCTTATTAAATTAAAAGCACCCTCCATGTCTTCTACTTCCAAGTTCCATCCTTCAGGCCCACTGGACTTTGCAGCCAACTTCGCCTTTACGCTGGGCGGTTTCTACAATAAGCCGCATACTGACAACAATAAGGGCAAGGTGTACTGTTTGTGGTATCCTATTGATAGTGAGAGCGGCAAGATCATGACTCAATGTGAAGGTTATGATCTTGGCAATGGCTGGTTTGTGTTTCCTGAATATAGATTTGCTTTCAACTTTGGCACAAAATACGCCGTTCAAATAGCATGGAATAGCAAGACCACTTTCCATCACACGCTGCCCTCCCTGGAAAAGGATGATATCAATAATGCTGGTCACAAAGTTCATTACACGCGACTCGGTTGTTCATCTCAGATTACGCAAAAGATGGCCCGCGCTTGCGCAAAGGCCGGAACTAAAGAACAATTCAACCACAAGTCAAATTGTGAGAGACACATTAGGGATGCTGAAGACATCCTGAAGCTTAAAGATAGGAACTGGAAAGTGTAGAAAATATCACATTTCGTTAGTCTCTTTCTAAACTGCTCTTTCTAAACAGTATGTTGTAAATATGCGAATTTATAAATGCTGACGCGGCTTGTTAAATGTTGTTATAGTTTATTTAGGTCTTTATACGAGCCCATCGTAGCTATACCAACCATTTATCTAGGTTTCTAAACGGTTGTTAGGTATACTTGATCATGACTTCTTTGTAGTTGTTTAGTTTCCTTGATTATTATGATTTGGTTATCTATTGGTTCTGTCATTAAAGTATTCTATGGGATACATGAAATTTCCTCATTAGGTTTTTTTTCATTCACTTCGCTCGTATATATACTACTGGTGTTTGTATGCGGACTTGAATGAATGATGTTGCAGAACATCATGATTTGAGTTTGTCATTATCGCTCGAGTGCATATAACAGTATATATTTCCAAACAAGTATAACATAGGAAATCTCTGATCAATACAAACAACAATAGGTAAAAGAAAAATGTTTGTATTCAACTTTCATTATGTGTTCTCATGGTCTGATTGTGAGCAAAGCGCGAGTCTAATCATACAATGCTATTATTTGTCTTTCATAAAACAGTCGATACATGTCAGTCAGAGTGATTTAAACAAGCGAAATGATTGAGTCATACCTTGATTAATGTGCTTAATGATGTTGTTAGCCAAGGTACAACTCATCATGTAAATGTCAAGGTCGTTCTGCCATTGCTTGAGATCTCGCGCCAAATTGATAATCATTATCAGGTCGTTGGTATCAATTTTGTCATCGACTTCGTTTTGTAGAACGATTTTATCAATGTAAAATTTCAACAATTTGTGTATCATGAACAGTTGGTCAAACGCTTTAGCAGTGTATCCTAATTGCTCTTGTGTCTGTGTTCGATCTAGACTTGCTAGATTTGGTGGTAGGGGCATCGCGCTATCACCAGGTATAAGATCGAGCTATAAGAGATATAGACGAATAAATTAAGTGTTAAATGTTTTTCTATACTTTTGATAATGGGTGAAATGTGATGTATAAAGTAGATTTGATCTTACGAAAATACTTACATGAAGTATCTAAGTACGTTTTAGATTGTTTGTTTTTCTAATAATGTAAGGTGAATATATATCCAACGATTATTTAGGCAATAAAAGGCCAATTGAGATGTTGGGGTTGTGTTCAAGAAATGATACCGAGAACTTTGTTATTGTTAGAAAGTTGAAGATAACTTGAACAAAATTTCTATTCTGATTCTCGAACAGCCAGGATGTTTAATCTATGTCATTTAACCCTACGAAACCATAAGGGCAAAAATATTAAGCGGTAAGCCTCGACAAACAATGTATATAATTGACCGTCAGTGGTTCTCTAAACCTTTCCAAATCAATTCTACTCTTTGATTAAAAACTTACCAAAAAGTTCATATATAACAAAGAGAGCCAAGAAAATAGCAAAGGAGCTTGAAATCAATAAAAAAGTGTGATAGACACACTGAACTGGGTGTGTAGAGACACACTGGATTTATATACTCTGTTAAGAGGGAAGTGATTTCACCTATCAGGCAAGTTGTGACATTTATCTAAGATTCCTCCTACGTACGTGTGCATGGACTAAAGTTTCTTTCCTTGTGTGCCTCATACAAGAACATATAATCCATTCTTCACTGTATTAGACTCTTATAGGGGTTTTACTGGGTTTCACCCAGTTCCACATAGTGTTTAGCTGAAATGGTGGTATTCTCCTCAAGTGCATACTGGGGTTCAAGCGGGCGGTGTGAATGAGATGTGATGTGATTACCCCTCATAATTGTCCTTATAAATCCGAGACTTTGGTTTAAGACTGGTCAGGCTATGTGTGCAAGGCAAAGCATCACCGGGGACAGGGTATAATTGGTTATAAGTTTGTTAACTCATTGAGCGGATGTCCCCATTAGATTGGAAGTTCAATCAAATATATTGACTCACTCATATATGCATCACTCACATTTCTGAGTGGATGCAAGTGTTGATAACTGAGCAATTGGTTCCATTGCTCAGTCAACACTTGCATCCACTCAAACTGTGGATGCATCAACACTGGCATGATTTATGTTTGGACATTGTTTGGGCCACTTAGATTGGATGTTCAATCAAATAGATTGACTCACTCATATATGCATCACTCACATTTCTGAGTGGATGCAGGGGTTGATAAGTCAACAATTGGATCCATTGCAAATGATGAATTATCAAAACTTGCATCATTTTTGTTTTGACATGGATTGGGCCACCCAAGACCAAACAATGTTGGTGCCATTAGATTATCTGACCAATAGAACACCTGACATGTCTCACTTATTCATCTCTCACATGTCTAAGTGATGTAAGTGTTAAAAATGTTGTTTTTCTAACATGTGCTACACTTGTGAGCAGACTTTTCCCTCACGTGCCAGCCTTTTTCGGATGGTGCCATTATGGGGTTCAAGCGGCTGGGGTGGATGAGACTTGATGTGAATACACCTCATAAGTGTCCTTATGATTCCGGCTCTTTGGTTATCAGGCTGGTCAGGCTATAACCAAAGATTCTGGCTCTTTGGTTATCAGACTTGTCAGGCTATGTGTGCAAGGCCATTGATCACCGGGGACAGGTTATAAATGGTTATAAGTTTCTTCACTCTTTAACCGGATGTCCCCATTAGATCGGATATTCACTCAAATCTATTGACTCACTCATTTGAAGAAATTGTAAGCTTTTTGCCTCATGTGCAAGCCCTGTTTGGATTGTTATGCATCCAAACAGGGCTTGAGCGGAATCAAGTGTTGATAAACTTGTGAGAAAAGCCTTGTGCATCCGAACAAGGATTTTGCTCACAAGTTTATCAACACTTGTTTGGATGGTGCCATTAACCAACATTTATATCACTTACATCGCTTAGACATGCATCACTCACATGCCTGAGTGATGCAAGTGTTATAAATGTTGCTTTTGTCACATGTGCATTGAGTGATGCATGTCTAAGTGATGTAACTGTTCTAAATGTTGATTAGAAAGCAACATTTTTAACAGTTACATAAATGATGATTATAAAGCAACATTTTTTACAGTTACATCACTTAGACACTATGTGATGTAAGTGTAAAAAATGTTGCTTTATAATCAACATTTATAACACATTTGGGAAAAGCATCATTTCTGGTTATAAGTTTTTTCACTCACCTGCAAGCCTCTTTCAGATGGTGCCATTGATTTGGCTGACCATATTTGCCCCTTACATCACTCACTTATGCTTCTCCCATGTCTTACTGCATTAAGTGTTTAAAAAGTTGCTTTTCTCACATGTGCAAGACACACCATATACTTTTATGGTGATAAGTGTTTTACCTCGTGTGCTAGCCTTGTTCGGATGGCGCCGTTATATTTGGTGGCCATCATTGGCCCTTACATCACTCACTTATGCATTTGACACGTGTCTAACTGATGTCAGTGTCAACAATGTTGCACACATGCAAGCCCTGTTGCAATGGTGCCATTGGATTGGCTAAGGAACATCTTAGCCACTGACATCCCTTAGGCATGCGAGTGACGTGATAAATGTTCCTTAGCCATTCCATTAGCCATTCCAATGGCTACACACGTGAGAAACATTTGTCGCCATGATGTTTCCTCATGTGCAAGCCTTTTTCGGATGGTGCGCATAGATTGGCTGACCATCTTTGCCCCTTACATCACTCAGCCATGCGTTTATCATGTCTGAGTGATCTAAGTGGTGATTAGTCATCCTGACTGGCTTGTGCTACACAAACCAGTCAGGAGGTGGTGATGTTATTTCGCTCACGCGCAACCCATGTACTGATGGGGTACTTTTGGCTGCCCATCTGTACCCCTTACATCACTCACATGTGCATCCCCATGACTCACGACACAAATAAACCACAGCAAGTGTTGATCATGTGCGTAAGTGTTGGCGCCTTGGAGCCACCACGCTGTTAAAACCTTGGTCATTCCTAAGTTTGTACTGCACTGACTCACGCGCACAAATAAACCACCGCATGGGTTGATTATACAGCAAGTGTGGCTTATTTTCATAAGTGTTTGCTCCTTGTAGTCACAAAGCTTTTAAAAGCATGGTCAATCCTAAGTTTGTACTGACATGTAATTTACTTTGGTATAATGTTGTTGTCATCATGCAGCAGGTAAAATAAACCATGGCAAGTGTTGATTATACAGCCAGTGATGATTATTTTACTAAGTGTTTGCTTCACAAAGCTTTTAAAATCATGGTCATTCCTAAGTTTGTACTGACATGTGATCCACTTTGGTATTTTGTTGTTGTCATCATGCAGCAGGTAGCTCTATCACGTCTGTGTCAACCTTACCATCACGTCTAACACAGACGTGATGGTAAGGTGACTGTCACTCACCCAGTGACACCCCCGTTACATACATAATGCCGCTACATACAACATCCGGGGCCGGGGCTGCCCGTACGGTCTTGGCTGTACCTGGACCACTCTTCTCAGGCCACACTTGTCTCAAGCATTCAAAAGATTTTTCCACCTACGACATCTGCCATACTTGTCTCAACCTTCGAAAGGAGGCCAACCCCGGCCGATTGAATCTTTGTTCAAACAACTACCACGTAAACAGACGCCTCCTCACCAATACGATCCCATATCCGTCATGAGCAGCCTAATTTCCGCGCTAGTCACAATTGCCGCCAACCTACTTAGTAATCAACTTCCCGATTTGGAAAATTCAATGTCAGGATGTCCGTCCATCTTTCGCTAGCGGGAATCACCTACTTTCACATGGCCTTTGCACCGGGATAGGGAAGGCAAAGATGAGTTCTATTCGACCCGATTGACAGAATTTCGAAAAGTCTTGACATTTCTTTATGATCATTTGAACATGCCTTTAAAAGGTATCATACGAGGTCTTAACCACGCAGTCAAGGTCGGCAAGCCTGCAACACCGTTACAAGAGCAATTGCATGCCCGGCGCGAGCGAGAACAAGCTCACACAGCAACATCGACTGCGGCCATCAGGGCAATGCTTGATGAAGGTCAACATCAGCCATTACGTGATGAAGTCATGGAGCCAGCACACCTTATGCACGAGTTAGACGCACCTGATGACGGAGATGACTATCCAGGTGCAGAACCGGAGGATCTCAATCAATTTATGCCACCACCATTTGAAGTAGAACTGGAGGTGGTTAACCCAGTCCAAGCACGATTGCGTAGGGAACAGCATTTAGCTGATTGTTTGGCACACGAGAACAAGTGGAGCTGGCAGTATGCAATAATGCTGCCTACATTTCTTCGATGCAAGATGGCGACCTCAAATTGGGGAAATGAAGATCTATGGAAGAATGACTTACGTCCGCCCTGCACCTGTGCGATGCAGACCGAACGTGATGTAGACCTGGTTGATTTAACAAGTACGTCAAGGTATCTATCCTAACTAGCTAAGTCTGAATTGTATACTAAGATCAGTACATATAGCTCGTCGTAGAGTGAAGATATCATTTTGCTAGCAATGCGATCTTTCCGATCCTTGCAGACTCCTCCAAATGGGCTATATGGCGGCATCACCGTCAAAACCACGGACCGCTTTCTCGATACGCCTACTCATCCACCACCACCACCAGTGGGTCAGATATGCCGTTCCCACGAAGTCTTTTTGTGAAGGTTTAGACGAATCACTTGATAGTCACAACCCCGTCATCTTAACGAGCAAAGGAAAAGTAAGTAATTTTTTCCGCGATCCACCTCTTGTAACCCTATCTGACTTCAGTATAGCCTCGGGACTGGCGAGCCCCTTTTACCATTTCTGTAGATGCGTATAGGGCAATAATTAATCAAATACGCGAACTGGAACACCAAAAGCTTGAACTCACCGAACTTTGCAAACTGGCAGCGAACTGCCCCAAATGCTTTGGTCCGCCTGTGGGCCAAACACGCCCTGGAGAACCTTGGGTTGTGATACGTCTGGATGGGAACTTCCAGCATAAGAGACATGCTAAAGCCAGTGTCTCTATTCCTGGTTCACTTACTCCTCGCCCAGAGATCTTCCTTGACCCCAAAATCGCCGAAGCGAAGGCTCGATTTCTAGAGAATGGCCCCCCAATTGACTGGCAAAACGTAAGTGGTAAAGGAGATATCCAAGTGTTCTACTACATACACTGACTAGGTTTGACCTATAGGACGAATGCACTCAGGCTCACACCACAGCTAATGATGCGCGAGGCAAAGGTCACTTCAAGAATATGGATGAATCAGGACTCCTTGGTATGGCTTGTAGGCATGACCATGTCCTCAAGATGATGAATCTCATCCAGACTGGGGAAAAGTTCGTACCACTCTCCTCATTCTTAGTAGCAGTTAGCTGATAACTACTTGTCTTATAGGTCACACTATGCACTAGCGCTTATTCAATGGCTACTGGATATATTTGCGAATGATCATGATGGTACTACAAGTCTAGGAATTCTGTACGATATAGGATGCAACTTGGACAAAACTATTAAGAAGGTCAAATAAAAAAATTCTACGGTCATGCTTTGTTATAGATACTGACTCTCACGCCAGTATTCATGCAGAGAAGAGTTTTTACCGATGCAAGACATGCAGAACAAGTGAGAATAGGAACCGCCTTGTTTCATGCCTATGCCCACAACTGGGGCTGTCAGTTGGAGTATAATCCACGCCTGAATCCTGGATGGGGAAAATCGGATGGAGAAGGCCTGGAGCGCGTGTGGTGGAAACTAGCCCCACTAGTTTCTGTGCTCAGGTATGCCACTAAACAGCATCGTTTGGTTAGTCTGGATCTGTGGACAAATCATCGGAATGAGGCCTTGTGTAAAAACGCGGGTATGTGCGATTTTCTTTGTCGTTTAGCTTACCAGGAACAAGTTTAACGTGTCAGAATTGTACAGTTAAGAACATGATTGGCAGCACCCAAAAATTTCAGGGTGAGCTACAGGAAGCCCAGGCGTCTCTCGCGAGATTTGAACAAGCGAACCGGGCACATACAAGGCAATATTTTCAAGAGCAGTGGGACCGTCAGCGAGCTTTGCAGCTGAATGCTATTAATATCAGGTCGAAGGAAAAGCGTGCGCGACTCGAGGTACTCTTAAAGCTAGAAGAGGATCTTTTGGAAGCTCGGTAAGTCATTTTGTGTTTCTAACATACTTCCACACTCGTTGTAGTCAATTGGTAAATCCACACTGACTAAATGGTCGTACAGTCAGCAAATGAGGGATTTAGATGCAGCCCATGTCCCTGTGCGAACCGCTGAGCAACGTAATGCTCTGCTCGCGCTCCCGAGGACCCTGGTCGATCTTGAACAGAAGATTCAAGAGGTCGCTGATGAAGTTGGTAATACCGAGTTACTAAACATTCGCCGACACGTTCGGCAACGTGGAAGTGGGTTTATTACTTCCTAGTACTTTGGCCTCGGCCGCTGTAGCATGAAGCTGATTAATAAAGCTCTTTTTTTTATTTCAGTTGATCAGATTAAGGCTGTCCTGACTGTGCAGGTCACTTTGGGTTTTTTGTATGAGGCCAAATTTGGTGCTTATCAACAACAAGTGGATGCTGGAAGGCGGACTGGTACGTGCATTTTTCTAGTAGTGAGATGCTGCACTCTCCTTGCTAACCGTCGAGCCATATTTGACCCAAGGTGCGACTCAGCAGCCACGAAACGAGGAACTGCGTAAGAAGAAACGGGCTCTCCTCAAGAAGAAGCTTGATACCTACTTGAGGCACGCGGAACGGTACAATCAAAGATATCGACCGAGACAACGTCTGGCTCAGCCAACATTCGACAAGGTCGTGGCTATGGACATCCTAGATCCCTTTTGGGACGAAGTTGCTCTCAATCACCCAGACGAGCCATGGGTGTGTTGCCAGATTACCAAAGATGGCATCCTAGCCCTTTGAAGTGAGCTTTCTTCGGAAGAGGAGTTGCGGCGCCTTGGGCGCGAAGTCAGGCAGATGATTGGATGGGGCCTTGACTATGAAGGACGCATGGAAAGGACCAAGCCAAATGAGGCTGATGGTAAGCCATTCAACTTATTTGACATCAAGTATTTCGGCTAACAAAAACGCCCACATCCTTCCAGCCCGAGTGGTAGAGTGGAACTCTATCCACTCTAGTCTGGCCAAACGAACCTGTCGCCTATGGAAGCAATGGGATCATGGATTACTCGATGTCTTCCATGCGACCAAGCAGTATGTCGAAGGAAGTGCAGAAAATGATGGAGAACTTATAGATCGGTGGGAACAAATGGTCAGTCGAACCACACAAACTTGGCATGAAGTCCTAGGGGTACCCATATTTTGGACAGACGAGGACGATGAGGACGCTCGTGCAGAGGCAGAGGAGGAGATGGATTGGGTATGGCATAGAGAGCATTTGGAGTATTGGTAGAACCGTTTAAAGATGTATGTGCATATCAAACTATATAGAGATATTGAAATTTGCAATTCAAAGCCCAAGTTGCCCTAAGTTGTGTCTAGCATATGGTTAGTTATGACGCAGAGCAAGCACAAAGAAGATTAAAAGATAATCTCTAAGAGACCAAATGTGTTTATATTGTCTAAGAGACAATGTACCCGCAGTGAGAGACATCATTCATTGATTTGAATGTCAGTTTTGTACCTCAAGTCCCATTTCTATTCAAATCAACAAATGAAATTGAATCAATCCAAGGATTTATTCAGGATGAAATAACTTGAACATTGTATCAAGATGTGACATTGAGACCGAGTCGAGACAAGCAACCAAACAATCGAACAAACTTTATGACTTATTATGGTTGACATTTTGCTTCTTCATGTAATTGTTTTTGTTTCACTTATGGGAGGAGTTATGGTCCACTATCTTATTGGCATCTTACGCTATGATACCAAGTAGTTTATTTTTGAATGTCTTTCAATTGCATTCATTACAAATATCAAAGTTACAGTATTATTTTGTCACCCACATAAATAGCTTTCATTTGACAAACAAGTCACATGACATTTTTGGTGCAAAGAAACTTTGCAGTACATAACAAGAAAGATGAGCGTCTATTTTTTAAGATTTGGAACTAAGTGGTGTGAAGGCTCTTTAAACTGGCATCAATCGGAAACTACAGTGGGCTCTTGCGGCGCTTTGTTCTTTTGCTTGCGGCGAGTGCGTGGCTTGAGGGTGTTAAGGAAAGCAGTGTGTTCGTTGATATGAGACTGCCACGTGTCTAACCAACCTGACGCTTCGGCTTTGGCGAATCGTTGCCATGTGGGACAAACGCGGGGAATGGGAAGATGGGCCAGAGTAAAATCAAGCAGGACGGATGCGAAGTGGTAATTGGCGTAAATGATGACTATGGGGGGGTTTAGATTGGGTGAGGAGTGATAGGGAAAGAAAATCCTGTTGTTAGATACGCCGGGCTCGTAGTACAAAACCGGGCGATTAAAAGTTGTTGCAATGATTCCGCCCCACCCCGGCATGGTAAGCCAATACTGTTGTTCAGATACGACATTTGGTTTGTTTGTTGCAAGACGAGCTAAGGCCTGAGCCCGAGGTTCAGGTAAGGTACGAGGTGTTAGTATATCTGTCATAGAGTTGATTGTGTCTAGCATACTCTGTCGTATGGCTGACCAGTTGTCCTGCGAGTGACCGAGTGAAACTGATATCGCGCGGAAACCACAGTGGCCATCCGCCTTCACTTCCCGTATGTCACTAATGGATGGCACCAGCCAATCACGAATACTATATTTCGTTAACAGGGCTGGCAGAGTTGGATTGACGAGGTTCGGCTTCTGTAACAGTGCCTCCTCTCGGGCGCGTTTGCGTGTGAATGGACCGGGAGGTGTAGCAGAAGTGTTACTGGTCTCTTGCAACATGGTGGAGGTGTCCGGTTTGACACCAGTATTGACGTTGGCGTCCAGAGCACTGGGAGGCTGAGTATCAGGAGTACAAAGAGGGGGAGTTGAAACTGAAGTTTGCACTGGTTCAAATGTGGGCTGAGAAATGAGCAGATCTTCTATATTGAAGGTCGAGTTGGTCACTTCGGATGGGCCATACAAGTCGTCTAAAAGCTTATCAAACTGCTCATTAAATACATAGAGGATACAATCAGTATCAGCGAGCGCGATAAGTTGATTACTGGAAACTAGCTTACAGATTCTTCATTTTCCATCGCGTGGTCCATTCCAATTTCTGTGGTTTCTGTTGTTCCCTGGGGCTTATTTGGCGAGTGAAGGTAAAGGTCTACCTAATGTCACAGCGTATTGTTGTAAGGTTGGGGTATCAGAAGGTAAGTAAAAAGTGGGGAAATTGGACATACTGCCTGAGAAGGCGAGGGTACACAGTTGGCGGTGAAGGAAAGCGGGAGAGGTTTGGTGAAAGGTGGCTGGTTGTGATCGTTAATGATTTCGTCAATCTTCTTAAGGATTTCTTGCTTGCGGCGTGGTGACATTGCGCGAAGTCGAGCAGTTAACGTTGAGATGACGGTTTCAAAGGGGTCGATATCATGTGAGCAAGGTTCAAAGGCGAATGGTTCTTGAGGATGTGGCACAATGGAGACATTTGAATCAAGACCGAGTTCAACAGTCGGGTGTTGTTCTTCCATTGGGTCCTGAGGATGTGGCACTTTGGAGACATTCGAATCGAGACCGAGTTCAACAGTTGGGTGACGTTCTTCTTGATCTTGATCGGGTGTTGAAGTAGGGGTTTTATCGTCATCCATGACAACGCCTGGAGCTAGGATGGGCTTCGCCTTTGGATCGTGAAACCTTTTGCGAGGTTTGACATCTGGATCTGGTGGATGATTATGGCCAAGGTGAGTGTAGATGAGGATCCATTTGCAGGGCTCGTAGAGCCATCGAGTGCTGAGTTTGAAGGGGCAGTCTATACAAAGAGACTTCGATGTTCCTAAAGCTGCTGGTATACCTTTGGGATACCCCGATCGATAGCACTCGTAATGAGATACGGGACTGGTTTTAGGTTGTGATCGGCCAATGCGTATGCGGTATCCATGTTGGGTGGCTGGAAACGAGGCAATGTACTCGTCCATCTTGCGTCGATCTTTGTGTTGGATCTCGATTAATTTGGGGACCGGGAAAACGTGCTTGTCCGGCCTTGCCTCGGTGGTTGGCTCCATGAGTATGAGGCTGCGAGTTGGTTGTCATTTGATGTGAATTAAGAGTAAGTTGGGATTGGAGTTTGTTGATGAAGGTCGTGAACGGAGGTATGGTGAGGTGGTGAGAACTTACCTGCGTGGTGGTGAGATGTGTATCAGGTTCACTCGTGATACTTGTTGATGTGGTGGTGAGAGGGAGGATGTTGCAGTGGTGAGATTAGACAAGTTAAGTCACGAGGTTACATGAGGTTACATATACGGTGTATAGGTAGTGAATTTTTGGTCTGAGGGATTGAGGTGGTAATTGTAATTGATGCGGTGGTAAAACATTAGATGTGGTGGTGAGTTTTTCGATTCGATGGTGACTTTTTGGGTGTGATGGTGATTCTGTTCATGTGGTGGTGAGATTTGGAATGTGGTAGTGATATTGGTGAAGTAAAATACAAAAAAATACTCGTCATGACGCCCCAACATCTAGGAACAAGCTGCATATTTTTTCAGATTTTTAGCTCTCTTCCTGTTGCCTCAGGACTTTTCTATGTCAGTAGTTTTCTTTACTGCCCGGTAAAGATGACATTTTGTGTAGTGTAATTTGTTTTGCTCAGGTAGTAATATTACTTGTAAGTACGTGAGGAAGCAAAGGGGGTCCCCTTGGGGAATTGGGGACTTAGCCAATTTTGCAAGTTACCGTAGGAGCAGCTAGCGCCTAGCTAATTCTATAGGGCGTTTTTCGAAGTACATGCAATGATACATTAGGCTGTATCATCCTATACATTTGGTGCGTTCTGGTGCGCACAGGTGTGTTTGCAAAAGCGATGTCTTTATCAATGAAAGGTGATTCAATTAGCGCATCAAAATTCTTGAAGATTTATGAAGCATTAAGCAAAGTAGGAAATCAAGATAGACCTTCGACCAAGAGAGCGACGTCAGCTAATCCAGTTTTATAAGAAAACGATGTTAGATCAGATGGCGGAGTCTTTGAGAACGGCATGTGGTTTTTTCCTGGAAAGACATCAACTTATCAAAACAGAAGCTACACACCATACTTCGATAAAAACATTCAAGAACTGAGGTATCCTATTCCATTGACGATTTTCAATAAGGATTGGCAAAATAAAGCTATGACTTATCACGTAAAGAAAAGAACTAAATCGACAGATGGTGAATCAAAAACAGATACTTATAATGGCTTACCTTATGCAGATGAGTGGTTACTCGATTATGGAGAATGGTGCATTCACTTCAATGGTTTCGTGAATGCTTTGAAAGGTGCAAAATTCAACAAATTCGTGGAATGGACTTTAGCTCATAAAGCGAATGTAGAAAAAGTTATGAATGTAATGGGTTGGATGACAGCCTTGAAGTATGATATGAGAGTAAGAGAAGAAGCATTGATAAATAGAGTAGAAGTTGATGGCAAAGTCGCTCCACCTGACATATCAGAATATAATCTATTTCTAGCAGAAGAATGTTTTGGTGAATCTGGAATGAGAGGTGAGTATCCTTTTATAAAAATTCTGAATGACGATTTGAAATTAGAAAGCTGACACCCTTTTTGTTGATGGAATTACAGAAGAATTATTGTTCAAGAAAAATCCTTACGTAGAAGGAGGAGAACGCTATGGATGGGATCCAGCGACAGGTAAACCTCCAAAGAAAGGAAACAAGAAAACAAGTTTTGGTCAAGAAAAGTCGTATCAAAAGTGGAACAACAATCCAACTGTAAGTGGATCAGGTGGTGCAGCAATAGGAGCAGATAAGAAAACGAATGAGAAGAAGAAATTCAAACCTGGATATCAAGGAATGCATTTTGACCCACAATATGCGGAGAAGAAGGCAGCAGCAAAGAGTAATCAAACCGCAAAGTAGGTATTGATCATTCGATTATTCTTCTTTGTATTGTTTTTTTATTATAGAGCATGTTTTGCATTGCAAATGTTAATTAGTAAATCTCTATTTCTACCTGTGTAATTTTATCGGTTATAAAGTGCAATTTCAATTCGTAACAAGCGAAGTTGTGATAATAAAAAGTTCATTAACCTAAACGTAGAAGAACCGAAGTTACCTGAGAGACATAAGTTACCTTTAGGGTGGCCAACCGAGATAAAGTGTGAAATGAATGTGCTGGAATGGAGAGAAGCTTTGAGTAAACACAGGTTATTACCGGATTATGAAGATGTATTGGAAGGCTTTGTTAGTGGTTTTGATCAAGGGATCCCACCTCATAGTTTCGGAAGTGGATATTTTACACCAGATAATCACACGTCCTCAACCTTAGCATCAGAGAAAATCATTGTGTCTATGGAAAGAGAGGTTAAGGCAAATAGAATGTACGGACCGTATTCACATCAACAAGTGGGAATGGTATTCAATTTCTTTAGATCGAGTCCTCTAGGCACCGTGATAAACGGGGATGGGTCACTAAGACCCATCAACAATCTATCTTATCCGAGGAATGATCCTAACGTACCTTCCGTCAATTCCTTTGTCGACTTGAATGACTTTCGAACAACTTGGGACGATTTTAATATCGTAGCGACCTTTTTCAAGAGCTTGAAAGAACCATGGCTATTAGGAGTGTTCGATTGGGAAAAAGCCTATAGGCAGATCCCAACCAGAATGGATCAATGGAAGTATTTAATGGTTAAAGACTTCAACGGGAATTTAATGTTGGATACACGTATAACATTTGGAGGCGTAGCTGGCTGTGGGTCTTTTGGAAGACCGGCAGATGCGTGGAAGCACATTATGATGAAAGAATTTGACTTAATAACTGTGTTTAGATGGGTTGACGATAATTTATTTATCAAAAGAACTGGATCGACAACAGAAATGAAGGAAATTGCAGAGCGATTGCAGGAATTAGGTGTCACTACAAATTTTGAGAAATTATCGAAATTCGGACATGAACAAAAATTCATTGGATTTATTTGGAATGGATCAAACAAGAAAGTGAGACTACCTGAACCTAAACTGGAAGAAAGGAAAGGTCAAATTAATGAATACTTAGAACCCAATGTAGAAGTCACATATGATCAATTAGAAATATTCATTGGGAGACTGAACCACGTAACTTATATATTACCTCAACTCAAATGTTATCTCAATGGTTTACATAGAATGAAGAAAGAGTGGGTTAATAGGTACGCGAAGCGGAAATTAGCAGAAGACGTGCTAGAGGATTTGAAGTTTTGGGAAGAAACTTTGGCAAATTTCAAGAATATGCGTTTGGTGTCCATGAATAAACCAACAGAAATCAACTGGGTTGGCGGTGCATCAACCTCTTTTGGTTTAGGAGTCCTGATAGGTAACAAGTGGAGTCAGTTCAAACTAATGCCGAATTGGGAAACGAGCGGTAAGTCGAAAAGGAATATTGCTTGGCTTGAGACAATAATGATAAGAATGGGCTTCTTGATGTTATTAGAGATGAATGTATTGAAGGGTCAGAACTTAATTGTGTGGACGGATAATACGTGTGAGGGTTTGGTATTCAAAAGAATACTCAGAGCTCACTAAGAATGGCAAGGTGGGTTGGTAATTTTAAATAATTAAGTTATATTTCAAATATAATGTATTACAATATAATTATAAAGATAAAAAGAGAGGGAAGGAAGGGGAAACTGGTCTGCACCGCCAACATATTTACCTCGGATTTTTCAATCCGAGGTATTATCGGATTACCAACCTCCGACAGAAGCTGTCCGAGGTTTTGATCCGAGGCAATTCCCAGTGCAGAAGATTACCTCGGACAATAACCTCGGACAGACCTTGTCTGAGGTTTTACCTCCAATGATGCCTCGGATTCTGCAACCCGAGGCATCTATGTTGGCAGTGCTGTTTGGATAAATCCAGACAGACTACAGTTAAATGACTCCTTAAAAGGAGGTTCAGGGGTATAATTCAAATATACTATAGTTGGTGAAAGCTGGATCCAAGGCTCTCCTTCAATCTTCAAGGTAACCAATTGAAGAGTGATATGGAGGTCACTAACCTGGTTGTAATAAAGTCACCAACTTGTAGTTATTCAAGAGGTCACTAACCTGGAGTTGATGTAGGTCACTAACCTGTAGTTGTTCTGAAGGTACACTAACCTATGAGTTGATATAGGTCACTAACCTGTAGTTGTTCTGAAGGTGACTAACCTGATGGTTTATTGGAAGGTCACTAACCTGAGGAAAAGTTCTACTTGGGGGAAGTAGAGGATCCAAAGAGAAGGGGGTGAAGGATGAAATTACTTTATCTTCTAGGAAGGAACTTCCTTAAAGAGATGAAGTGAATCACTAGTCTTATATATTATAAGACTCTTGATTATATACTTCAATTGAACTTTAAAGGGTTCTTTAAAAGAGGTGTGTAATAAAATGCTTGGGGGAAAATCCTTGAAGGCTGAGAGAGAAGGGGTTTATATATCCTCCTCTCCAAACCTAATTGTAGTGATATTTGATTGTATCATCACTGTGGTTTAGGGTTTAATAATTACTATTAATTATTATTATTATTAATAAACATAATTACATATAAGTGTTATGTAATTTATGTAGTATAAGAATTTTAACTCTTGACACTGAGTTATGAGGTGTAATTGGTATTTTATTACATGTTACATATGTTTTTAAGTGTATATACATATGTAATTGGTGTTTGTATATGTTTTATTATATGTTACATGTGTTTTATAAGCTGTATGTACGTGTAATCAGGTTTATAAGTAAAATTCTAATATTATAAGTTAGTTTTGGGTACATGTATATGTATCCAGGGCTGACAATACGACATCCAAAGGAGTTTTAAGAAACAGGAAATCTCGTGATAGAGAGGTGAATGATGAGTGGAAGGTGATTCAACAATTGCTTGTCATACACGACTTGAATCTACACCCAATGAGGGTAACCACAGATGATAATATAGCTGATGAGCTATCGCGCGGTATTTCACTTGGCAAAGATGCAGGAGACCGTATTTTTATTTCTATTCCCACTGACTTGATTGGCATCATAGAGAATGCTGTTGTAGCAACAGCGGTGAAGATTTAACGGTAGTACCCCCTGTTAGTCTTGTAACGTCTGATTGATTTTAATGAAAAGTCTGACCTCAGAATGGTAAAACTCCATGAGGCCAAGAAATTCGTGACCCATTCGATTCGAATTTTCGAAGTTCGCACCCCGCAAACCATTCATCCAAAACGGCTTCCAATAACTCATTATCTTGGAAATCTATCTCCAGACAGTTCTCCATCAAGACCCTGTAAGTTTAGGCTAGGCTAGAGACGACCAGCCGCACATAGCAGTACCACGGTCAACTTGGCTAATGTTGTTTTTGATGGGACGTTGTGTTCATTTCATTCGAGCTATAGATCCCAGTTCATAACCTGAGTTCTAAGGCCGCTTAATCCAGTATCGATGGCACCATTAAAGAATCTCGCAGAGTTCCTTTCCGGAGGCGCCTCAGGCGAAATCTCAGATCTACAACTGCACTTACTCAAAGGGTGGGCCCCCAATACCCAACTTAGTTACAACAGTGCCGTGAAGAAGTTCCTTAAATTTGCGAAAGAAGAAATCAAACACCCCTTTTGCTTGCCAGCAAGCCCAAACGACATATACAACTTTTGTTTTTGGGCAGGACGCTCAGAATTTTGCATCACGTGAAACGAGGTGCAGTCTTTGACTCTGAAGAAGTACTTGTTTGGTATCCAAGCATGGCATCTGTTCCATGACACGCCATATCCACACGTCGTAAAGGATCGAGTGACTGTATTGCTACAAGCGTCAGCGATGGCAGACGCCTTACTACCATCTTGCCCTCCCAAACCAGCGGTCTTGATCAAGCACATGTTAGCCTTGTTCAACGACCTTTTGGGCGAGAATGCTAAGGATCTAGCAATTCTCGATTGCGCGATATGCGCCTTCTGGGGCTTAGCTAGGTTAGCAGAACTAACGTACGATAACACCACTGGTGAGAAGAAGTGGATCAACTCTGTATGGTGTAGCGATGTGAAGCGTACAGACGACACATCCAACTCCTTCACAATCCAAGTCCGCGGTGCTAAGACTGCAAAGGCGGGAGTGGCACAACCGATCCTGCTAAACGGCCAACCAAACATTCTCTGTCCGGTTAAGGCAATATTACGTTGCTTGGCTACCAGTACCAGCAGCACCGATTCCTTGTTCGGCTACATCAGCGGGGATGGCTCAAGGCGCAACCTTACACGATCCATGGTCGCAATGCGATGTGTTCAGGTTTGGGAAAGTTACGGATGGTTTGGAATATCCGGGCACTCATTCCGGGTGGGAGGTGCTTCCTTACGGGCGGCCCTTTCTATCGATCACGCCGATATCAAGTCGCTTGGCCGTTGGACCTCGCAATGTTATACGCTCTATCTTAGAGAGTATTCTAAAGAAGACATGGCGGAAACTGTGGCAGCTCTCAACGCCATAAATGAATGAGCTACGCATGTAAGAACGGGTTCGCACAAGGTGGGGGTTTCGCATGGCTCAGGCTCGTTCTCAAACCCGAGTTTTGGGTGTATCACTAACCCCCCCCTTGTGCGTTCTCTTAAACCTAGGTTCTGTGTCTTACGCGTCAGAGTTTTCGTTTCTTCCCAGACAGTCATCTCTCGACGGCGGCAGGTTCTAACGTTAGATCCTTACGCTGTTGCCGTCGTGAGTCTGTCAGGGGAAAAGCTAGAAAACCTCTCCCCCCACACACCATACATCTTGTATGGCGTACGCGTGTTTCGAAGGAAATACATGAAATCTACATAGATGTTCCAAAGACTGGAATGACACTTACAGTCATTCTGTCCCGAAGGGTGAAGAACCCTCTATGTGAGATTAAAAGAATGAATACATCATTCAGCGCGGGATGCTTTGAAACATCCCGCTCAGATGGAAAATGCTAGAATAAGCTGTTCTGTCACGAATGGATATCTGGTACCCGTACGAGGCACGAGGGATTTTACCCTTGTCCATGCC